TAATACATAAATACCAGACAGAAATTTTTAAATTTCTCCCTATCTTTCTTTATATTTTTGTGAAAAATAGATGGTAAAATAGATTTTCCTGGCCCTGTTTTGTCCAAGAATGTAACCCAAAGAATTCTCTTCTATTTAAATTTATTTTATTTATTTAAAAGGCACAGTTAAAGAGAGGAGGGAGGGAGAGAGAGAAAGATCTCTCATCCACTGGTTCACTCTCCAAATGGCTGCAACAGCTGAGGCTGGGCCAGGCCGAAGCCAGGAGCCAAGAGCTTCTTCCAGGTTCCCCATGACGGGTCAGAGGCCCAAGCACTTGTGTCATCATCTGCTGCTTCCCCAGGTGAATCAGCAGGAAGCTGGATCAGAAGTGGAGCAGCTGGGACTCGAACTGGTGCCCATATAGGATGCAGGTGCTGCTGGTGGCGGCTTACCCAGCTGTGCCAGTGTCAGCCCCAACCCAAAGAATTCCAGAGTGCAAAACAGACCTGCAGAACGTTCACAGGAAACGGAAGAAACTTTATTCCATGAGTGTCAGACTTTATAGACAATGAAGGGCCAAAGAGAAGTCAGAGACCAGATTTGATTTGAAGGATATTTGTTGAGAAACCTCTTAGGTGCAACTACTCCAAAATCCAAGATATGGAAAATAGAACCTGTATATTTAATGTCAATCCAACTGAGTAGCTTTCCATGGAACCCACTAGAATTCTGAAAGGTTTCCCTGAAATGGTTTCTAACTCATATTTGAAGAAACCTAAATGAGGGCAGCAATAGGATAGAGGAAGTCACGTGAAACTTGTGTGTGCTCATGGAGTTCATGTCAGCATCGCATTTCAACAGTCAGATCTGAGTCTCACATCTCACAGGAAAGCAGCACAGGCTCGTCTTAGGCTGTATGACATGTGAGGAGACACACACACACACACACAGGGAGGGGGGGAGGGAGGGAGAGAGAGACAGAGAGACAGAGAGAGGGAGAGAGAGAGAGAGAGAGAGACGCCTCAGGGCAGAGGGGTAGGTGTACAGTAGATGATGAGAAACATGGCATATGCAGGGATTCTCGGGAGACTTCTGTCTCTGGAGGCTTCCTGCACCACCTAAGTGTGTGCATTTCTTAGGTGGAGGAACCTAAGTGTCCACTAATGGATCACATAAGGAAAAACGCTTCCTATAGAGAGGATGTCTGTACAGCACCCCAAGCCATGGTGGTCAGAACCTGTCAGGCTTGCGGTGGGGTAGCTAGAGAGGAGGGTGGAGAATGGGCAGATGAAGGGAAAGGAACCAAGCACCTCCCTCTCCTTTTCCCTCTGCAGGTTTCCTGTCTAATGTGGACCTAAACTGAGGAGGGAATGAAATTTTGCATTTAATCAGATTTAGAGATTGTGAATATTTTGGATTATGCATTGGAAACACTGACCTAATGTGTCTGTGATCTGTATGTGCTGTGTGATATTCAAAGAGGCCACGGGATCCCAAGTAAGAGTAATATCTTGCCATGCGCGCTCAACACAGTATTTTAATTGATGACAGAAGAGGAAGGTAGGCATTTATAGTGAATCACAACAGCAGAAAGCTTTAAACAAGAATGACATGCCATCTAACTGCAGCCCCAAAAGCAGAGAGTTCAGGAAAGCAAACGTGGGACTGGGAAATCAACTGAAGCTTTTGAAGTCACGTGAAGAGTTTGAGTATACTTTGAGAGTTTCATTTCTGTCTGCATCCTACACTCCTGCACTGTACATGGACATTATCAAATAGGAAGAGGAACTGTCTGAACAACAACAAAAATCCTTTTGCTTGCTCAGAAACCTGATCTATAGATCCTGATTTAATTACAGGAAAGAATGAGAGAAAATAAACCTAGAGTTCTATTTCGACTGTATCAATGATACAGTTAATCTAAGACACTGCAGAGGTCTACAAATTCAGAAGACTGGAAAACAATTTCTTTGATATAATAAAAAGAAAACTATTTCCCTTAACTGAATTTCTTGGCCTCTGTGGACATAAATCAGAAACCTCATATAACTGCAGTAGTTTTTTCTCCCCACAGCTTAACTAGGACCCCTTTCTAAGGCTATTTCCGTATTTAGTGAGATTGTATATAAATTTGATGTTATGGATGCCACTGAGGAGAATTCCCACTTGTGATATGATACAATTATGCAGATTCACACTTCAGAGAAATTAAAGACATGAAAAGAAATTATAGATCAGAGAAATGAATTTTTAGGGTTTTATTTATTTTAGGGCATTTGTGTCAAAGTGTGAAACTTTCCTTTGTAAGGACACAGATGAAAACTGATAGGTGGGGTAGAAAGGAACAAATCATCTTTGAGCATCTTCTAGCTGTGCTCTGAGTTCGTTTTTCAGAAAGGATACCTGAGCAATAGAAACATTTAATGTCTGACATTTTATCAGTTGTGCATGAATTCAGTGTTGCAAATGATCCTGTTTTGCAAAACTAGATTCAGTCCATCATTTTTTCCTAGTGTGCTCCTCTCCTTGATAAAATAATGAAACAAAAAGTTCTACATTGCAGCTATACTGCAGAAGGATAGGTACTTCAATACTTCAATTAATTTCACAATCATTTTGAGTGTATTCATCAGTTTTTCATAACTATAATGAAATACCTAAGGTAAGTAATATTTTAAAAAGCAAAATTTATTTAGCCCATAGTTTTAGAAGTTCAAGTCCAAGATCGGCTTCTGATAGGGTGGCAGATGGCAAATGCAAAGCATGAATACAGAGGGAGGATCGCAAACTGAGCCAGGAAGCAGTGAAAACAGGTAGGCCCACCTCAGGCTTCCAAACCCAATCTCTGTTGTGATCTACCTGCCAAGAATATGGCCCTGGTAACCTTATGACCTCCTTCTAGGCCCACCTCCTAAACATCAGAACTGGATTAAATTTGCACTCTCTTCCTACCATTAATTTAGCACGCTAGGATTAAAAGTCCTGCCTGGGTTCAGGAATAAAAGCATATTCGATCATAGCACCAAGATTTGATATATTATTTCATGGCTATTTGGAAAAGCAAGTACTTAGAAAACCAAACAAAAAAGAAATAGACACTGGAGGCCATACAGTTTTGGATTCCTTTTTACTTTTAATGTAGGGTAGAAGAAAAGAATCCAGTTACTCAGTGAGACAACGCTTAAAATGACTCTCAGTCCATCAATTTAAAACAAGAAGATTAGATTCTTCCATTAATGAATCCTATCTTTGAATTTATTTCCATATAAAATTCTTTTTGCATTTCTATCTTCCTTGCAGATTGCAAAATCTTTTGAGGGAAGGGATCTTTACGGTTAACCTGAGCATGACTTACATTTGGCGAGCCCTGAGCATATGGTACTTGTCCAGTAGGGGTTTGTTAACTGAAAGGCAGATGAAATTTCACTGGTCTGAAATATTTATTTTTTTCATTTCACATTTCCTAAATTAGAAGATATCTGACATTCTTACCCTCTTACAGCTGCTACGATTTAAGCACAGCAGTGGTCACCTGACTTGGAAGAAAATTTCCCAGACAATGCTTCTCTGTAAGCCTGAGTTGCAAATGCTCTTAATGACTTACAGAAAAATATTCTGTAGAAAACCACGCTCATTAAAGTCTTTGAAATGAAAATATTCAGAAGCTGAATTCTGACTATGAAGTGTTTAGATAAATCAGATCAATTTATCTGGTTTCATTTTACTTTTTATATATGCTAACGGGTGGTTTGAAGCAAACTCAAGTATAAACAAATTTCAAAAGGCTCAATAACATTCCATCTTATAAGAAAATATTGGGACAGCATGTTTTATTTTTTATAATAGATAAAATAATGATGCAACTGGCAGTTGATATTGCATTGCCTGCAATCTCGTAGCACACAGTACATTATCCAGAGTACTTTGATTCACATTGCAATACCTTGCAGCATTTTGAATCAAATCTATTTTATCAAACAGCATATTTCTAATAATTGGAATGATAACTAATAACTGTGCTCACCAAGACTACAACAATCTATACTCACACAATCACAGTTGCTTCTCTTGATACACTCTATTGTGTTTTTGTTTCCATCCCAATCCACCATCATGAATAATTTCCAGTTGCATGTTCAAGGGGTCCTCTAGTGCATACAGATGTCTATTTAACTTCAGAGGCATCATTGGCCACACCGTACCTGCAGCTCAAGTCCATGTCAGTGATGTGAGATGAGAAACCAGAGGGTCTCTGCCCATCCTCCTTGAACCCTCTTCTCCTCCTTCAAAGTGGATGGACAACATCTCCTCTTCATTGTTGACTTAGGGACTCATGCCCTACTTTCATTCCTCACATACATTTTGTTTTTTCTTCCTTGAACATCCCCAGGTCTTCCTCAAGTTTTGGTCTGTCAAACCTTTACTCCAGTACTAGTCTACTAGCACAAATGTCATCAACAACCCTAACAACCTTAGCCAAAAGTCATTAGAAATTCATGTCCAAAAATGCTACACTTATTGCTTATGCTTTTCAAATACCATATGACCATCAATATATTTCATTTTCACTCCCTGTCAATGGAATCTTTCAGTGCAATCCAATGTTTTACAGGTCCTTGTCTGATTTTACAATCGGAAGCCCTGATTTTAACAGGGCTTCAATAAATGCTTCATAAACATTACACTGATGAATTCACCCAGTTCCTAAACTAATATACAATGTATGTTACAATGCCTTATGTTCTAAGTTGCATTTTTTTTAGTAGGAGCATATTATAAAATATATCCGATGATATCACTAACAATATGCATACGTTGTAAAAACTATTCAATGCAAATATAAGGTACTGTAGTTAAGATTTAGAAATTTGAGACTCCATTAATAATTAGATACTATCTTATCATTCAAATGATTTTTTCTATAAGTATGCAATACTTGAGGAAATCGTATTATATAAAAAAGTTCATGATTTGCCTGGTTAACACAGGACTTAGAAATGTTCTCTTAGCAAACTTACCTCTCACAATGATGTTGGTGGACTTTTTTGCAGGGTTCCCCACGTTGTTATTGGCAATGCAGCTGTAAGTACCAGCATCATCTGAGGTGATGGCAGGTATGGTCAAAGTCCCTCCATTCAAAACAATCTTTTCAGGCAGGGTCCCAAAGGACCTAACCCAGGTGAGAGAAGGTGCAGGCTCTCCTCCTGTTGTAACACACACTAATGTTATGGCCTCTCCAGGATTTACAACTATAGGATCATCCACCAAGAGTTTAATTGACGGAGATGCTAAAAAACATAAACAAAAGAACATGCACCTATTTAGATATACTACAACTGACATTCAGCAGCTTGCTTTATATGCATTCCTGTAAGCAAATGAAATATGCTCTTTTTGCTACAATCTCATGTATTACACCAATTTAAACAAGATTTAATTATTTGTATTTTATTCAAATGGTACAAATAGATGGAACTCTTAAGAGTTTTACACCTGACAAGGGGAATTAAAAATTATTATTATTGCTCTGTCTGAAATTAGAATAAGAGGGGTGAAGTAAAACAAAGCACCTCTCACTGGCTTAATGATGACAGCCAGCTTTTGTGTCTGTCAATCCCAACACAGAAACTATAGCTGTTTAGTCACTGTGTTTTCACAGCAAAGAGAGTCACTTTTTTAGTCTTTGATCATTTGAGGAGAAATAATCATTTTTTGCAACCTTCAAATAACTAAGAGATGAAGGCCTAAGTCAGAATAGCCTTTTATCATACAGTAGACTTGATTTTTGTTCTTGAAAGAATAACAAAATTATTTAATTTAAATAAATGGTCATACTTCATCTCTAACCACTTTCATTGCAAAGTTTAGGTACCAATTCTCATAATAATTTCTTTAAAACTTAGATGGAAACAAACATGAGCGCTGAAACACAGACCACAAACCATGTCTGCCATTACTTTAATTGTTGGATTATGAAAATCCCCATTCAAAATAAATTACTTATAATATTTCAGGTTAAACACACACCCATTCAATAAAGATTTTTGTGTTATAGCCTTTCATCAGACATTTAAAACAAACTGCACAATAGCTACATGCGTATATGGCACTTTTTTCCCTTTGTATGCTTCAGTGCGAGCCTAAATACTGCATTTGTAAATAAAAATGGGACAAATGCACTTAACTGAAATCTGAGTTCACACGTTCAGAAATATCTTACATCGATGTTGGAACTGTATTGTATGAATTCAGTGTACATTAGAAATGTTTAAACTGCTCTATTGCACTGCTTGACTTTTTTAGATATTAACCTCAGCTTAGAATTGGTGAGTGCTCTCCCCAGAATAAAAGTTAGACTCCTTTTGGTTCTGTCCTGTTATTTAAAAAAAATTCAGAAGAGAACAAGAGGGAAAAAATGGTATTGTGGTTTTGTGGACAAGGCATGGGGTTCTTTTATAACTTTTTAAATCATTACTGCTGCATGCTGGCTCTTCTAACATCATTTAAAAGCATTTGGGAAATTAAAACTGTCATAGGATTAGCCTTTCTGAAGTATTCGGTTGAATTATAAAGATTTATGGTTAAAACCTGCTGGGAAGTACATGTAGTAGAAATAATATGCTAAAGTCAACACAGTATGGTATAAGAGTATCTCAAAGAGTTATTTAATAATGTTGTACTGATAGAAAATATTGCTAAATAAGTACTCTGAAAAGAGATAATATTCTTAATTATTAATATATCATTATGAAGAGGTAAAGGAAATCCCATTTTAAAGTAAAGACCATAATTTTACAAAAGTATTTCATTAAAATACAATTACAGAGATTTCAACATTTATAGCATATTTAAAAAGCTTGATTGGTTTATACCAAATTTCAGCCAAATTAAAATGCCTAAGGCCTAAAAGTCCAGTAATTGCATATATTTGGACTATAGAATACACCAGAGCCACATTAAGGAATATTTTTCCCTGTCATTGATTGGTATAAGGATGAGTTGCTTTTTATTAAGCATTATTTTAAAAAAAATTCAAGAGAATCTTAAGCAAAAGCAAAAGCACATTATTAAAATATGTTTTCCAAAAAGAGAGTTAAAACCACAGAATGCTTTTCAAGTTAATTTCATTGAGTATGCCATGTATTTTCTGTGATTGTTCATGAAATTAAAAATAGCCTAAGTAGAACACAAAATGGTTAACAATTTCAACTCTTTAAGAATATTCAGATATATATTTTTAGAATCAAAATGTTTTAGCTTTAAACCTTCAAAATGTAAACCACTGTCATCTTTTGTTACAATATCCCATTTTGATTCCAAAAATATCAGCTTTTTACAACTACAAAGATTTCTGTAAGAACCACAGAGATGCAGGGATTCAGAAAGTTTAAGTATAAATCATGTCTTGGAGAAAAAACAAACATAGGAAAGAACTAAGACTATTTTTGTCTGTTATTAAAATACTTTAAAGATTCATATTGGTGGATTGTGTACTAAGTTGTGGGTATATCAGTGCAACATTAAAGATTCTGAACTAGTTACCTCTTTCTTACAGGCTTTCAATTTTTCCTTTCGTGTAACACTATATGTTATTAACTAGACTACCAACATGGCTCTTCAGTCAGAAGTAGTCTGTTATGATTGTATCAAAAGCTGGAAGTGATAGTTAACTGGTAAAAGCAAGGCTTCCATAGAAAGAACCATTGGTTCAAATCCTGACTCTGCCATTTAACAACTTAGTGTGCCTGACAGGTACTTTTACTTCTGACCCCACTCTTTGAGAGGATTCATCTTGTGTAACATCCTTATGATAGTATCTAGTACAAAACATGCACTGAAAACAAAGTTTGCTTTTGTCACTGTTTTTATTTCTACTGTGATAGCCTGGCACACAGTGGGTAATTAAAAAATACCAGTAAGACAAATCAATTAATAGAAAAATGAATAAATGAATGACTATATAAAATATGTAATCATTGTCAAACATAGTTGTTCTGATTGCCTATTATAGAAATTTTAAATCATTTTGACTTTCTGAGGTCCCGTATATCACAGAAACACATTTAAATGTCATTACCTTTTAAAGAAATATAATGCTAATTTCTCAGTGTCCTAAAGCTTCCAACCATCCAGACTGTATGCATTCTAAGCTTACTTTTCTTCCCTTAAATGGCCAAATAATTTATCAAAAAAATAAGGCTCATTTCACTAAACTATATACATAACCCAGTTAGTGTTCAGTACATGCCTACAACCTATATTGAATAAGTTATTCCACTGCCATCTGAGGGTACTTCAACAAGTTCACAGAAAAAAATGGAATTAAAACATAAGCTCAAAAAAAAAAAAAAAACAAACCATAAGCTCATTTTGGTTCAACAATTTTGAAACCCATGCTTATTGTTTTTATAATATGTACTTTCTATGAACTTTATCTTATGTAAAGAGTTTTGAAAAACATGTTAAGTCCATGGAAGTCATAATATGTCTTAGTACATGAGGAAAATGCTCTGTTCTATAACACTTACAGAATCTAGGTGCCCATTCATTTCTCACAGCAGAATGCGAAAGAGGTTATCACCATAGCTCATTTTTAAGTAATAAAGAATTTAAACATGAAGACTAGAACTGGAATAATAGAAACACTTAATGGGTCAATTTGTCATTTTATTTGAGACGTTCATCAAATCAAAGAAAAAGGTAAAATATATAAACCAAAAATCCTTCAATGAAAATGCAACATTTATTTAACAAACTCATATTTTTAAACATGTTTTATCATTATTGGCAGACAAAGTTCTAATTACATAGAATTATTTCAAGTACACCACCAGTTATAAACTTCCTGTATGTACACAGTGATTATAAATGACTGTGGTGCCAGCCAGACTGTGAGACTGGTAATTAGCCAGCACTTAATGATGGAAGGCACAACCATCATGATAGCTGTCACGGAGACTTGACTCCGCTCTACAAGATACGCATACAAACACTCTGGCATGCTGGCTGTGCTCTGTGGTGGAAAAGTCTGAGGGAAGACAGGCAGAGTGGATAGATTCTTGATGGGATGGATGGATGCATGACAGATGATAGAGAGATAGATGTGAATCACTGGTCCTGGGAGAGATGAGATGAGATGAGACAAAATGGCAAGACAGGAAGAGAAAGAACTGAAGGAGAGGGAGAGTAAGGCAAGGGACAAGACTGTAGTTTCCATTTTTAAAACTGTTAAACATTAATAACTGGAATGTAGCAAGTATGTCTTGCAAAATATCTGTTAGAAAGGGATTCCTTCCCATTCTCTTTGAAAATCCTCTCCTCCGGGAAATGCAAGAAAAGTTTTCTTAAGCTGGGCAACAGGTACTTCAGAAGAACTAATAGAAAAGCAAGTAGGCCCCACCAAAATTCCAACTTAGTATGTTCCAGCACAGAGGGGATCTTCAAAAGATTCACACCTCATGTTCCAGGCTGTGGTCCAACAGGGCATGCCCTAGGATTTAAACAAAAATGGAACTCCAAACTGAGATCAAATATCTGAAATGACTGCAGAATAGGAGGATGTAGAAAAATAGAGTTGAATCACAAAATGATGAATAAAGATTGTTTTTTCAAACCTGAATGTGTAGACTGGGATTCATGATAACTACAAATTTTAGTGATTCAGATCCTCATAAGGTCCTCTGGACATGTGATGCAAAGATTTAGCTTGGGTTATTAAGAATACACTCTGTAGGAAGAGAATATTATTTTAGCAGAATTCAATGGCTTCTTGGGAGTTTTATTTTGTTTTTTAATAACACCTAACATAATAGTTAAGCATGAAGATTAACACCTGAGGATAAAAACGTGAATGCAGGATGCAATACTAATCATCTATGTACCCTTTAGGCTTTGGCCATCGATGGATCTTGGGCTTTTAATTTTGAACAGGGAGTCTAGCTTTCTACTCATACTTTGATGAAATTTGTAAAAACTACAGTAGAAGCTACTTCAGAAATCTGCTAGTCACCTTATGTTTTGGATATTCTAAGCTGTGATGCTTTGAAAAGAAGCGATTTAAATCTTAGAAAGTAACCAAATTCTTAGAAAAATCACAAAGAGGTAACAGAACAGAATGAACGTGAATAAAAATGTTCATCTCCGACAGTAATGCCTCCAAAGGGGGGTCCTGACACAGCTGTTCATTTGGGTAGGAATCATGGGAAGCATATTGAATGGGCAGAGCAGGGAGACAGGAAAAGGAGAAAAGCCACTAATTAGTAGGTTGTGCCTGTGGGAGACTGGTTCC